ATTTGATTGACAATTTTTTTGTTACTCTGATGAATATCTGCCTTGTGCATAACTACCAGATGAAAGAATTCTTTTATTACATACATGTCACAAAGGTCAGCCACTTATAGCCAACAGCTACCTTTCGATTCCTTCGACTAAACTTTGCATTGAAGAGAAGACAGAAGCAGAAAGAGCAGATCTGGAAAGAAAAACTTGAGAAATGTTAACACAGTTCAGAGAGGGATGACACATTAATGACACATTAAGTGAGACGGCATGAAACGGGGAAAATGAAGTGGTCCTGGCAGCCCTTCAACTGGTTCCAAAAATGGTAAAATGTATGGCTAGGCAGATGTATGGAGATAGTGACCTGACTCACGGCTGTTTATCAGTCCAAGAGCTCCCCACAGGAACACAACTAATCCCTGGTATTGATTCATGGGTTTCCAAAACGGCAAGTAAATCATGTAAAGATCGATTGGAGATGACTAGTTAATTGATCAGTTACTATATCAGGCTTAGTTCTTTTGCTTGGAGATAGCGGCCAGGTTTTGTAGCAGATTATGCCAAACAAGCTACGCTGAAAATTTGGTAATCTGGGCAAATTCGTCACCGTTAATCCCAAGACGCTGCTCATTACCTCCCAACATTGCCTTTCCTGCGCAAAATAAAGTCGCATGTCTTTCTGGAGCATGCATCAGATCTATGTTGATTGATTCCATGTAATTGCAGAGACAATGTCATCATCAAACCCATACTCTGCAGATATCTGGCTTCTCTCACTCAATTACGCTTGAATCTCGGCTAAGTTGGCCGGGATTGGGCGCTGCACGCAAGGGAAAAACCTGAGGAAATTTTGCGATTTTGGTGTTTTAATTGTGCCACATTAAATTTCCTCACAGCAAGGCCAGGTTGCCGTCTTGCCAGTAAAATGTGCTCCTTTACTCCAAGCAGGTCAGTCTGAGCTCTTTGCTGGCATTGCACCAAAACTTGCATGAAATTCACAAACATTAGTTAGTTCCATATAATATATGTGTCATCCTCATAAAGTGGTCACAGACCATCGTGGAATTAAAGAAGGATGTGTTAAGAGAAAGTTGCAAAATGTTCAGCTTTTCCACGGCTACATGTATTTGAACGAGGTGATGTCCTTGGCCATTGCTAGGATTTTTTTCGGGGGGGGGGGGGGAGGGGCCAAATTGCTTTCCAGAGGGAGCAAAGCACTTTCCAGAGGGGGAAAAGCACTCAAAAGTAGCGAAGCGACAACCATGCATTTGGGGAGAGTTCAATTCTGTGGCTTTCATTTTAATGAAAGCTTGCAATTGTTTTCCCATTCCTCCTCCTTCTTTTGCTTTACCTTTCTTTCCCCCTCTTTTCACCCCCTCCCCCATTTCCAGGAATGGGCATGTGCCCCTCCCCCTCCCCCCGCCTCCCCCCTCGCAGTACCCATGGTGATGTCTGCAATCTGGTATTTACAGAAGTTTCCATTACTTTTTTCCCACCACTCTCAAGATCTCTGAAATTCTTTTTTAGCAACATGTATACCTTAAAATCTGTACATGTAGGTAACATTTCCATGGTTGGTTCAGTACTACGTACATGTATGTATTTATTCTTGTATTAAATTTTGCCAAAATTCATTAGTCGGAGATTATTTGAAAATTGGATTGTGTTTATGTGTTACATTCATATATGGACAAAATCTACAGACAAAATGCATGTGTGCAGTTCTTGTCTCCAAAATGGCAGCATGCTATTTGTTTATTAGGTATAAGTTGCATGATATTGTTTATTAGGTATAAGTTGCATGATACTCACATGCTGAGCATTTGATTGGACCTGTGCAGTTTTGTTTGAAAAAAAGCATGATTTTTTTTCATGTTAATTTTCATTGGCTATAGTCTTCCTGATATTGTGCTGTTGGGAAGAATTTCAAGGGAAGATGCCTTGAAGATGAACATTTTGATGGAAACTAAGCATGTTTACATCAACATTAGCATTCTGTCAAGTCTGAACATTCGACAGTAAACCACCTTGATATCTCAACAAACAAGAAAGCAGGTTCATTGTAGGTTACTCCACCAGTTTGGGAACCCTTGTTTTGAGTCCTAGTTACTAGGGCCAATTAATGTGAAGATGTGGTTCTCAAAAAGATATGTCAAGTCTGAAACATTCTACAAGAAACAATTATTGTTATCTCAAAAAGGAAGAAAACAAGTGGGTTCCTAGTCCACCAGTTTGGGAACCCTAGTTTGAGTCCTACGAGGGCCAATGTGAAGATGTGGTTCTCAGTCCTTGACTGCTTCCCAGAATTACTTTCCTTTTTTTCTCCCACTTCTAGTCTATATTTCATTTCATTCTTCTAGTCTTTTAGTCTTTGAATGAAAGGCTAGATTGGACAAAAGCAGTGTGGTTTTAAGGGGCAAATCTGGGGGAAATATGTGGTTCATAAAAAGTGCAAATCCTCTGCGTACAATACTGAAACCAAAGTGGTTTATATTCATGCTCATGTACATTACTGTATTGTGGATTCAAGGACATCTAAGGTCAGATTCACCCACCATCTAGCATTGGGTTCGGCCTGAAATACTGAGTTTGTCATTGGTTTTCCAGTCATTGGTTTTTCCAGACCGTGATCAGAATTTACTTTCTGCCTCTGACTGTAGATGTGTTTGCATCTAATCAATCAAGTTTGTGGGTTTCTCTTTTCGGGGGCGCAGGTTGTAAGCTAGGACTTGAATACAGGAATGCAAGTTATGTTGCTTTTTTACTTCATGCCAACGATTTCAATGCATCCAGTGTCATTACGAAGCTTCAATTTTTCCCCCTTTGTGTCATTGTCATTTTGGAGGGAACATAAGGAGGGCAGGTCATGTGGATACCTTGGAAACTAATGCCAGTGTTCTCCATGTGCAAGTCTTAACAGATGTTTTTGGGGAAGAGGCAGTGGAATATGGCTTCCACGCTAAGGGAGTTATCAATTTTGGAAGATGTGATTTTCGGAATTAGTTTTACATTTTGTGGCTGCCTGTTTTGCTAAATTTAGTGCGATCACTGTCTCTGCATGGTCACCGAATCACTTTGTATCCCAACGACCGGACCTTGAAAGTTTATGAAATATTATAATCAAATATAGAAAGTAATTTAAAGGTTTTTTAAAGGTGTCCATGGTGTATTCAGTTAAAGGGACCATGACATGAATTGTACTTAGGAACATTTTTGTCAACTACTCATGTTAAATGTATGAAAACTATTTGCCGTCCCTTTTTCGGTTAATTTTATGAAAAAGTGCACTTCTTTAAATAGTTTTTAAAAATTCCATGCTTTCCAGGAGAACTGAGGGCGTTGTTGCTGTGATGTTATTTCAGGAAGACACTGTTCAGTTTAGGGGTTTTCTGTTCAAATTGTGAACCAAAATTTGTACTCATGGAAAACATTTGTTGGAAAAGTTTGCTCATTGGCTTACTGTCATGCAATGAAACAACAAAGAATCACCAAAGAAATGAAAATTTACCACAGCGAAAATTTCTGGCAATTTTTGGTGCTGAAATAGCTCTTACATTGAGTTTCTGCCTTAAACGACTTAATTAACGCTTTTGCTCATGAATATGAAAACTTGCATTAGCATAAAAACCAAAAAGGCGCCACAATACCCTTGAAAATGGCAAAATTAAAATTGAAAATATGGTTAAATGAGACACAAAGGTGCATTTTCAAGGATTGTATTAAAAAAATTACATTAATACGTGGGCCCTTTAAACCTTCCTGTTTTTGCAGTGGACAATGTTATCATAATGGTGCTCACACAAGTAATTGTTTTTTTTCTTAAATTAATTTGTATTCAACCGCAGGATGTTGTACTATAGTTTGTTACCCACATACATATTGTGTTTATCTTTTTCTGAATTGTCTAGTAAATGTTGAACTGGCACTTGAACAGCAGATAAGACTGAAGAAAAAAATCACAATGATGCAAACGCGTACAGTTTTCCATTCTCATCCCTTTTGGGGGGCATTTTTCCCCCGGTCCCCAATGCGGTTTGAAATGTAAATCGGATTTGTAAAACATATTGCGTGGGAGGGTGCTCAATAGTGTGTGACGGTTCTGCATATTTGAACTTCCCAAGGCCAGCTGATGTAGCCATGGTTCCTTGCATAATTTAACCATTTTAACTGTCGGATGATATTTCCACGCTCATTAAGTACCGCCTCGTGGTGTTGGATTGGCAGACGCGGGCACGGAGCATTTTTGCCCTGCTGATGAATCACGCCTGGGGCAGGCAATACAAAAGTACACATTTGTCTTGAATCTGTTTCGCCCCCTGTCGGATCGAGATTCATTATTTGTTGTGGAGATTTGTTGTTTGTTGAGTGTTTGTCCGAAAATTGAAGTTGATGTGCCTGACATAGGCTAAGGAGCAAATTATACTGTTGTGGGCGTGCCAGTGTTTATAAATCCTACAATATGTCATAACTCTTTTTCACCAGGTTAAAGACATATAGGATCAGTTTGAATTTATCCCAAAGTAATCTACCAAATTATTATCAAAAAGCTTACTTGTGTTAAAGATTAAAATAAGATGTACTTGGTAGTTGATATCTACTCCACATGTTCACTTGCTTGTTGACACAATACTACTGTTCAAATATTACAAACAGTGGCATATTACTCCATTAAGGACAAACCACTGTTTATGAACTACATGTACTGCGGATACTCTTAATTAACTATCCATACCACTGTGTGTACATTTTGTATTGTGTGGAACACTGTGGTCCAATGGTTACTCTCTCTGACTCATAAAACCGTGACATGGTGTCTGTGTTCTTGGGCAAGACACTTTACTAACATTGCCCATTCTCCACTCAGGAGGGTAGAGTCCACATGGCACTGATATAGAGCTGTTGCAGATAACTGGTCCCACTGCCCGATGAACAGTGGTAGTAACAGTGTAGGGCTTTGAGACCACATATTTATAATTTTTGTTTGACTTTCTCCACTTCTGTATCTTCCTTAGGTTGACAATATCACGGAAGCCATGAAGACCTTACAGGAAAAGAAGGTGAAGGTGTTGGACCCTGAGCCTAAGATTGGCGCCCACGGCAAACAAGTGGTGTTCTTGCATCCAAAAGACTGCGGCGGTGTTCTTGTGGAACTAGAAGAGGCATGATGCACACATGACACTTAACAGCAGATGTTGAAAACTGTGGAGTATTGGTAGTATTGGTGGTGCTACCGGCACCTTCAGGCCAAAACAGCCTCAGAGTGAAATACCTAATGGTCCAAAGGGAATTACCCTAGTGAGGTTTAACAAAGTAATAGCAGAGCTTTGCTGCACTGACTTGGTATCAGTACTTGGCAAAGCTTTGCTGTAATGTACCAAGAAGATCTTGGAGCCCACAGTCATGATATAGTAATAACTGTTGTCACAATGAACAGTGAATTCTGCTTTTAGGCCAAAAAAAAAAGTCTCCGGTTTCTGGTATGCGCGCGCGTCGCCGTAGTCATGCGCGTCGGCAAAATGAAGAAGTTTTTTTTTCAATGAAAGATGATGTCTCAAAACCGCCAAACTCACTGGTTTGACTGGAATCCTGCTGCTGCACAATTTTAACGTGTTTTTAGATTGGGTTATGGTCGAGAATAAGCTTTATGTGGCCTCTCTGGACTCCCATATATTTGCACTAAGTTTAGTCGGGCACCATTTGCAGTCATCAGCCGACATTTGAAGCAAAAAAATCAGGTAAAAAAAAAAAAAAAAGCCGCGTCGCCGCACCACTTTTTGGGCAAGCTCCATACCAGAAACCAGAGACTTTTTTTTTGGCCTGAGGACTGACTGGTGTAGAAAGAATTACCATAAGCATGGAATTATAACTGACTCAAGCAAAATGAACCTCAGTGGTCAAGGAATTTGCACTCTTCTAAATTTAGAAATAAACCTATTAGAGGGAAACATTATAATATGGTGTTCAAAGTTGAACATTGAAATTGACTGGAATGGGGTTTGAACAGTGCTCTACCAGCTTTCCAGCCCCATATGTTGGCAGTTCCCCAATTTGTCAATGTCTTTGTTCAAGGGGCGCTTCAAAATTTACCGAGCTTCATCAATGACTTGAAAATAATGTGACACGGTTTTGCGATCCCAATTGTAAACTATTTAAAATGTTCTTGTTATTTACTGATACCTTTATGGGTGTTGTTGCTGTGATGTCTATACAGGGTATATTCAGTATCCCGAGCGATTATCTATACCAAAAACATAATCTCCAAATAAGCTCATGTTGAGCTTGCGTCCAAGATGTGGATACATGTATTACTCTGTGATCAAAACAGCAACTATGAAACTGAACTGTTTGCTGTAGATAACATCACTCCTGTACTTTTTGATTGTTAACATAATTATTAACAATACCATAAAATTATAAACTGTACAATTTCTAAAGATATTGAAAACAAATGTATCTCGTCGGTAGAAAGCGAGAGTAAATAAGACACAAGTGGGTTAAAACAAAGCTTTTTCAAGAAGTAGTGTAAAGTTGCATGAATGGTAACTCATAGTGTACATTTATGCATAGTACGGGAAACAGGTACCCTATTGAAGTAAAACATGGATACCCGGGCATCCGTAATAGGCGGTTTTATCAAAACTGAAGACGACCAAACACTTCAACCTGGTAATAACTTCCCTCTATTTTCAGGAACTCCAGACCTTAGCAAAACTTAATAGTGTGAAAAGTGGCATTGTCTGAAGGGCCTTATAGCTTTACATTGTAAACTGCAACTGTGATGCGATCAAGCTAAATGAGTCGTTTGTCGGGAACTTTCATTTGGAGATTCAGGCCAAAATAGGGCCACTTCATCACATCACTTCATCACATCTCTTGGTGTTCCAACTTCCATAATTTTTTAACTAAAGATGGTATCAGCGTGCGGTTTCCACATCGGTAATGCTGAGATTGTGCTCTTTTCAAAACTAAAAAAAAATTACCAGGGTCGACAAACGACTCGTTTAGCTTGATCGCATCACAACTTTCCTGAGCATCATCATCTGTTGCATAAAATGCAATGTGAAATCTGTTCTGGTTTTCCATGTAGCCTGGTTTCACTTCGAAAATTCCCCACAAATGGCGTTCAAAACCTTTCTTTTTCAATGTCTGAGAATTTACCAGGTAATTTGTAAAGTTGGGTACGGGTACCCAATCCCATAATCTGGAACCGGTTCCTGACATCAACGGTCGGGTATTCGGGTACCTGGTTCTGATGCACAGCCCTAATGGTAACCGCGTTAAGATGTATGGAATGTGATTTCAATGTCGCAGTGTTAACCAAATTACCTGTATTGACCATTCGTACAATAATTATGTAGAGTTGACTAAAATCAGGTTGAAGTCTGACACCAGTGGACTGTCAGTCCAATGTTCAATCAACTAACAGCTAACAATTCTTAGGATCTCCACTCTTCGTATCCAGTCGACTTTCTTCACTCATTATGCAAGGTTCATTCAGAAACTGTTACCTTAAATTCAACTGTGTATAATCTTATATATGAAGTCCCAACAAGTTGAACAGCGTTGAATAACCTGACTTGTGCTGACACCCAAAACCCAAACAACAGCAGAAACCAGTTTAGTAACACATTTATACGTAATTGAGATCCTCAATTGTTTTGGTGCTTTTGATTTCTTTCTTAAAAGCATAAAAGCAAAGATGCTTTTTACATATACATGTATTTATGAAATAGGCTTTAAATTGCCAGAAATACATAGCATTTATAACAAATTGTTAAACAAAATTTAACATGACTGTTTAACATTTATTTTACTTATATAAATTGAAGTGTTTTGAACGATATTTCTTATGCTCTGAGTTATACATTGTCCTAAATTTTACGTTTTATGTCTTTTTCATAGTAACAAAGCCAACTTAAGTACTTCATCAGATCAAATACATTGGGCGTATGGATGTGTTCTATACTTATGTCCAATCTCTTTTGAAAACATATTACAATTTAAAGAATGATCTTTAATTTGTATGCTTTCAAACACTTTGCTTTATCTACCCCTAAAGTAATCGAGATTTTAAAAGTTTGCTATATTAATGAAGATATTATCTAACAACATGTTAAAATCTCATAGAAAGATGCAAATTGGAGCCAGGGAAACTCATATGAGGGTCATGCTTCACATTTGGGGCCAACTTTTCCTGTCCCTGTTACATCTGACATCTACGATTGCATAATATTGGATGCACTTCTTAATGCAGTCGTCCTTCAAGAGTGATTATAAATAGCAAACTACATGTACCTACCCAACAATAAAACAATCATTTGAAGTCATTCTTAATGATACTTTAATGACAGGTTACAAAGTTCAGAGGTAAAGGGACAGGAAAAACGTCTCACTTTGGACCGTAAATTTTATAGAATGACCCATTAGTCCAATTCTGTCCTTCGTGTTATTTCATTAGGTAATCAATTTAAATTACATGTAGTAAATCTTTACCTCTCTTATTTTAAAACAGCATTGTTATCAAAAATAACACAAATAAAACAATCATTTGAAGTCGATTTCGAGAACACAAGTACAGATTGACCTCTCTGTGCCATTATATGTCTCAATAGTGAAGAATTCATGAAGACATTGTGTGTGTTTTTACAAAATGGATTGAGAAGGCATCGTAGAATCGACCGCAAGTTTTGTAATTGAAATATTTTGACAATCATGCTTCCTTTCATAGTAAAAACAAAGGGGTGTTTCAGATTAAACTCTTACAATCTAAAAAAAATTCAATGATTCATTTGTAGGGGACATCTTCTGTTAATAATATCTTTGGTGATCTTGAAATATATTTTTTGGTCGGCCATTTAGCAAACTGGTATAACCCAAACTTTATTTCAGTGTTTAAAAAATAAGGAAAAGTGTATAAGCATGTGTGCATGTTTCTTTCAATATCATAGTTCTGAAAAGTACTTGTTTCATAGAATGTGATTAATTTCGACAACAGATTTAAGCTGAATGAACACGACGTAGTTTGTGTGGTGTGAAATTCAGTCACAGACGGCCTTTGACTGGATAGGCATTTTATTTGAAAACCCATAACCCATGTTGTAAGAATCGTTCCACGATATTTTGAGTTGTAGCCCCATCGACGTGTCCAAAAAAAAAAAATGGGGTTGTGGGGTTTCGTCAGACAACTTGAGGGTGACATACCGTCATGTTTCATATGGAGGTGAGTCTTTCCACTGTGCGAGATTGAAGGAGACGAAATGGCATGCTGGCATCCGAATGAGAGAGATTTCACAAATCACTATGACTTGCCAACTTTCTGCAGTTGCGCGAAGTTTCCTCCAAATTTCCTGGTTGGATAGCGGGCAATTTCCCGCTAAATTGAGCGCCAAAGAGGAGATTTCCCACTTGCAAGGAACCGTGGAGTGAGTCTGGCAGACATGGGACGCCTCTAGCATCACTGCACCTCGCTGACGACAGAAGTACTCCCACAAACCACTAAAAATAAGACCCATTTACCCCCAAGGTAGTCGGGAACTGTCCCTGGGGGTGTCTGACTATCTATTTTCATGTCATGTCACCCAGTCTGACCATAATCGGCCCGAAACAGCAACATCGAAATGGTGACTCATGGAACAAGAACTGATAAGTCGGACACCCAAATAAGTTGTTTTTAATAGCTTCATTTGAAAGCGTTTTCTTTTTAATCTCTGTGTGCTAAGTTTAACCATTATTTAATCGAAATTTAAGTAAGAGACTCGGCACAAGCGCCTGATCCTCAAAGAAGGGAATTCTTTATGCCAAATTATCAGGTGTAAGTCAAAAAAGCCAATCACGGTTCAAGGCCCGCAATTGCATTATGCCACGGACAGTGTCTTTTCTCATACGTGACCAACTCGACGCATTTGGGGGTTATTGTTAATTTTCTGCTATCTCCCACCGCGTTAGAATTGAGAGTATTCACTGGCGTAAGTTTTGCGCCAAAATCAGCGGAGTTGAACGGCGCCTGACGCCAGGCTGGCTGGGCGAGGGTCCAAGCCATCATCCCGGTCACAGCAACCAAGGCTGCTGGTATGGCTAGACCGTGCTAATGCGATCATAACCAATGCTCATTTAGTTTTGTTGTCTGCGTTATAACTCCTGCCAATGTCCTTGGGACTCAGAATAATTATCTGAGGACATTATCTGATTCCATTCGTCCTGGATAATTACGAATAGCACACGCGTACACAATAGTCAGTATTTCTGTTTACATATAAATGAAGAACAAAGCTATTAACTACTAATTCTTGAAAACCCCTGGATTGTATTATCTCGGTTGGAAATTGGAATATTAGAAAAAATGGAAACAATTTTTGAACAAAATTTGCACAGAAACTTTTCGTCAGGAAATATTTCCCAAGGTAGGATGTGGGCGATGATTTGAACGAGTATCAAGCTGGTGTTTTAATACTCTCTAAATTCCAAACTCGGAGTGAAAATTCACTCCATTCGAGTGACGATTCACTCCCACAGTCGGAA